CTTAAACTTCTTGCAAAGCTAACATTTCAACCCTCTGTCTTTTCACATTTTCAGACATTATAGAAAGAAATGGTTTTAAAACATTTTTACAACAAATTTTACTCATTATGAGATTATAAACAAAGTCTAGACATGTAGAATAATTGTCATGGTCCTGGGTCTGATGATTATTAATATTGTGCAATATTGTGGCACCTGCTTTCTATGTTCATTTATTTCCTGTTTTACTTTGACAGTCCCGCATCCTGTGTCACTGTATTCTGTGTTGACAGGGAGGAACTGTGTCATGTCCCAGCTGTGTTCACTCCTGTTGCTTATTTCCTCGTTACCCTCCTGTGTATTTAGTCCTCCGTCTTCCTCCTTCTGTTGTTGCTTCGTCTGCGTTTCTTCCCGTGTTTCCAACTTTCAGCTTTCTAGTTTCATACAATATTGTATACGTTTTGTTAGCTTCATCCTAGTCATTCTGTGCTTTTTGTTTGTACTCTGATTCAGCCAAATAAAAGGCTCGCTTTCTGCTCATCACCTCACTCTGCCTCCATCGTCTGCTTTTGGGTCTACCTTCTCCTCACTCCACGCCGTCGGCCTCTGCAGACATAAAAGTAAAAGCCCTTCTGCACCAGTACCTACTCGGTTCGGGTCGAGTCTGCTCGACTTGGTTTTTAGGGTTTTCCATTACGTGGTAGTACCTGGTACCAGCTACTGTTTTAGTACTTTCTCTGCTGGGGTTCCAAGCAATCTGAGTTGATCCGAAAATGTGATGTCAACAGGCCGCATCGTGCTGATTGGTTGACTTGACAAAAGTCAACACTGCCATTTTTGAAGCCCGACAACGAGGGAAATGGCTGCACAAAAACCCACACCATGGTCCAGCTATTAGGTGCAGACTCGTACCACGGTGGGGTTTGCGTATTGCCTCGATGTCCTGTTTCTTCACAGGACTTGTCGCTGTCACGACTCCAGGCACATTGAGGTGGTGCTCCACTGTAATGGAAAACAACAGAAACCGAGTCAATTCAATTCAAGTCACGAGGCATAAGTCTTCTGGTGTTTACTATTTTAGCCTTTATGTATCTTTTGCATAGTTTTTCTTAAAGGCTATGAGTAAACTAATGCAACTGTGTCACATCTGGAACATTTTCTCGCCACACAGAAGTAATCTCTGTTGATTGAAACGATATCCTTCTGAAACTGCCTGCGCAGCAGTTTGCTTCTCATGTGTCTGATTCTATAAAGAATCTTTATCATCTTAAATTGCTTCTTTGCAGCATTTTCTTTCTTTTTATCTGATCCTTTTTGCACATGATAATCTTTGTCATTATAATCACCATCCCTGCATTACATGATCATTTTCATCAGAATTTTTCCTTATCTCTCGTTAATTTCTTCTCTTTTAACTGCTTCTGAAGCTTCTTCCAGAGTCCTGTTCTGTCTGTGCTTTCTCTCGTCCTGCTCCTTCTCTCACTGCTTCAACCCTACTTTGTCTGAGCTGTTTATGCTTCCTGGCAGAACAACAAAGTTCTTCACCTGGACGGGGCTCTAGAAAGGGAAGGTGGCTGAGGCTCACACATTGCTACATAAACTAATCTGATTAGCTGCAGAGGAAGACTCAACACAGTCCCGTGGCTTTCTTTTTCATTGTTCAGTGTTTTTAGTCACTTGAAGTTTGACTTGTTAGTCACAACTTGTGTTCGACAAACATAAGACGCATTTTCTAACACAACAAACATGCACATCACAGTCACATAGGAAGTATGTCTGCATACAATATGATATTTAGAGTATTTAGTAGTTCAGAGCAAAATGTGTGTAATTGTGATGGCTGCACTTACAGCCACACAGTGGTAACACCCACCATGTTGGTGTAGAGGCTTATAAGTAACATTGCATTCACATTTGTCTTTAAATATAGGAATTAATTTACAGGACAATAAATAACTGGTTTT